AATTTTTGTATTTTTTTGTAGAGACGGAGCCTTGCCATGTTGTCCAGGCTAGTAATTCCTGGGCTCAAGCAATCCTCCCACTTCAGCCTTCCAAAGTGTCGGAATTACAGGCATAAGCCACCACTCCTGGCCCATATTATGCATATTTTGTTAGCCATTATTCTATTCACTTATTTACACATATGTAGGGTCAAGCCCCACAGGGTCGGTGGGTTTTTCTCCCCGTGTGCGGAGATGAGAGATTGTAGGAATAAAGACACCAGACAAAGAGATTAAAGAAAAGACAGCTGGGCCCCGGGGGACCACTACTACCACGACATGGAGACCAGTAGTGGCCCCGAATGCCAGGCTGCACTGATATTTATTGGATACAAGACAAAGGGGCAGGGTAAGGAGCGTGAGCCATTTCCAATGATCGGTAAGGTCACGTGGGTCACGTGTCCATTGGACAGGGGGCCCTTCCCTGCCCCGCAGCCGAGGCAGAGAGAGAGGGAGAGAGACAACTTACGCCATTATTTCTGCATATCAGAGACTTTTAGTACTTTCACTAATTTACTACTGCTATCTAGAAGGCAGAGCCAGGTGTACAGGATGGAACATGAAGGTGGACTAGGAGCGTGACCACTGAAGCACAGCATGACAGGGAGACGGTTAGGCCTCCAGATAACTGCGGGCAGTCAGGCCCTCCACAAGAGGTGGAGGAGTAGAGTCTTCTCTAAACTCCGGGGAAAGAGAGACTCCCTTTCCCAGTCTGCTAAGTAGCGGGTGTTTTTCCTTGACACTGACGCTACCGCTAGACCACGGTCCGCTTGGCAACGGACGTCTTCCCAGACGTTGGTGTTACCGCTAGACCAAGGAGCCCTCTGGTGGCCCTACCCGGGCATGACAGAAGGCTCACACTCATGGTCACTTCTCAGTATGTCTCCTCAGCTCCTCTGTATGACCTGGTTTTTCCTAGGTTATGATTGTAGAGCGAAGATTATTATAATATTGGAATAAAGAGCAGTTGCTACAAACTAATGATTAATGATATTCATATATAATCATATCTATGATCTATATCTAGCATAACTATTCTTATTTTATATATTTTATTATACTGGAACAGCTCGTGCCCTTGGCCTCTTGCCTCAGCACCTGGGTGGCTTGCTGCCCACACACATATTCATTGAGCATTTAAATCACTCTTTGCTGGGTATTGTGCCAGGTACTGTTACAGCCTAGCAGGTTCTTTTTGCCTGCTGCACAGAAAAAGCCAATACACTGAGACTGGTGTTGCAGCAGAGAGTTTAACAATTGCAGTGTGGCTCAGTAAGGATGGTGTGTGATATTTCTCAAATCTGCCTCCCTGAGAATTTGACAACTAGGGTTTTTAAGGATAGTTTGGTGGGGAGGGGGCTAGGGAATGGGCACTGCTGATTGGTTGAGTTGGGGATGAAATCACAGGGGTATTGAAATTATCTTCGTGTGCTCAGTCATTTCCTGGGTCGGGGACACCTGGGTGGTGTCAGTTGGTCCACTGAAAAATATTTCAAACACCAGTCTTAGGTTTCACAATAGCAATGTTATCAGTAGGGGCAATTGGGAAGTTACAAATCTTTTTTCTTTTTGAAACTGAGTCTCTTTCTGTCGTCCAGGCTGGAGTGCAGTGGCGCGATCTTGGCTCACTGCAGCCTCCTCTTCCTGGGTTCAAGCGATTCTTCTCCCCTCAGCCTCTTGAGTAGCTGGGACTACAGGCACATGCTACCATGCCCGGATAATTTTTGTATTTTTAGTAGAAACGGGGTTTCACCATATTGGCCAGCCTGGTCTGAAACTCCTGAACTCATGATCTGCCTGCCTCAGCCTCCCAAAGTGCTGGGATTGCAGGTGTGAGCCACTGCACCCAGCCAGAAGTTACAAATCTTATCACCACCAGCTAGTGACTCCTGAGTAGTAGGCAATTATAAAAAGGTAAGTTAGGAAACAATGACTAGTTGTTATTTAACTATGCCTAAACCTTAACAGAATTCAGGCCCCTACCATAATTCTGTTTTTGGCCTTTCATTAGTTTTATAAAAGCAGTGTCTGTCCCCAAAGAAAGAGTGGGTTCGTTTTGAGAAGGGGCCATTATCATCCTTGCTTTAAAGTTAAACTGCAAACTAAATTCCTCCCATAGTCAGCTTGGTCTGTGTGTAGGGATGAGCAAAGGCAGTTAGCTTGTGAGTTTAGAAGCAAGATAGAATCAGCTATGTTGGATGTCTCTCACTGTTACAGTTTTTGCAAAAATGTTTTTAGTACCAGAACAAGATAGATATGGTCCCTGTACATGACAGAAAAGTAGAGTCTTAAGGAATGGATAATGCAAGGAAAACACTATTTAACTTATTTTTTATTGTTTCTTTGAAGCTGAGGACAAGAGTAAGTTGCTAATGATCATTTGATCCTTTCATTCTTACTACAATGTAATAGATAGCACTGTTTTGCAAATATTTGTAAAGTACGTGTTAAGTGATCAACATGTACTGTGTACATTGTGAATTATTGTGTTCTCCGTTGCACCCATTCTTGCTAGCTTATAACCCCCTTTTTAAACAAAAACAGAGAATGAGAGAGCAATCTTGTACTGATTGATAACACAGATGCAAAAAAATGAGTTTGTTTTTTTTAAAGGGAAGGGGTCTTGCTATGTTGCCCAGGCTGGTCTCAAACTCCTGGCCTCGTGCAATCCTCCCACCTTAGCTTCCCAAGTAGCTGGGATTATAGGTGAAGTCATTGCACCTGGCTTTGCTGAGTCTTAATTGTATTTATATTTTAAGCCAGTTAGGAGGCAAATTTTCTTTGAGTGTTTCATCAGTCTACCAAATCTTCGTCTTCAAGCTTTGGCCTGTTACTCTTCCTTACTTTCAAGCAAGCTCCTTCAAAGACTGTCTGCCCTCATATTTCATATTCTGTTTACTCTTTAACCCATTATAAACTGACTTCTGCCCCTTGACTCACTAATTACTTCCTGTTTATATTAGTACTTCTCAGCCTTTCTATATACTTGTCAGTGTCCACTTCTGCCCTCATGAAGTGTTCTCCCTCGGTTTCTGTGATACCCCTCTCTCAGTGTCCTCCTATCTTTCAGGCTATTCCTCTGTTTCCTTGAGGGACTCTTATTTTTGCTCATGCTTTGAATATTGCATTTTCTAGGGTGGGCATGGTGGCTCTCGCCTGTAATCCCAGCATTTTGGGAGGCTGAGGTGGGAGGATTGCTTGAGCCCAGAGTTTGAGATTAGCCTGGGCAAGATAGTGAGACCCTGTTTTAAAAATAATAATAGTAATTAATGTTGCATTTTCCAAATTATGTGCTGAAGTTTCTTTTCCTCTTATATTCTTTCACTTGTCAATCTTCCATCTATTGTCCATGAATTAATGGTTCCTCAGTGTACATCTGGAGCTCTGCCTTTTGGTCTCAGCATCAGGCCTGAACTTACAATGTCTACTGAATTCACTTGATTGTCCTAAAATTCAACATTTTAATATCTGCCTTTTGATCTCAGCACCAGTCCTGAACTTACAATGTCCACTGAATTCACTTGATTGTCCTAAAATTCAACATTTTAATATCACTTAAAATCTATACAACCTACTGTATTCTCTTATTTTGGTACAACTTTTCATTTAATTTTGCCAATTCTAGTAAAAAATTACATCTTTAATATCGGTCAGATTTATCTTATTTTATCTGTCTCTAATCCCCTTATTCTTTCTCCTGGATATAGTAACTATCCCCCAGAGTGACCTTCTCCACTAGAATTGACCCCTTTGTAGTCTACCCTCATTGCCGCCACAGTGTTTTAGTATGTTATTCTTTATCTTAAAATCTTTTTGATACTTCTCATTACCCTGCAGTAGTTTTCAAATATCTCTCCATGTCCTACCTGGTTTAGGATCATTTAAAGAACTTTTGAGGCTGGGTGCAGTGGCTTATGCCTGTAGTCTCAGCACTTTGGGAGGCCGAGGCGGGCAGATTGCTTGAGCCCTGGAGTTTGAGACCAGCCTGGGCAACATGGTAAAACCCCATCTCTACAAAAAATACAAAAATCAGCCAGTTGTGGTGGCACACACCTCTAGTCCCACCTATTCGGGAGGCTGAGGTGGGAGTATCAGTTGAGCCTTCCCGGAGGCAGAGGTTGCAGTGAGCCAAGATCATGCCACTGCACTTCAGCCTGGGCAACAAAGTGAGACCCTGTCTCAAAAAAACAAAAAATAACAACGAACTTTTGAAAAGCTCATATTCTGTATCTTTCTCCACAGATTCTGAATCAATATAGAACTTAGGAATCTTTAAAAAGTTTTCCACTGCCTTCGGGTCAGTGGTGTCAAAAAGTGTTCCAGATGGTTTTCATTAGTAGCCAGGGTTGAAAAACACTAACCTATACATGTGGCTCAATTCTTTTGGGGGGTCTTTGCATGCTTTTCTTTAATCAGATTTCTGCTGTACCCCTGCTCCCATCTATGTCCCAGCCAGCACTGTTCTGGGTTTCTCAGATGGAACTCAGGTTGAAAATCACTGGGCGAATCTGCATCAGTGAGGCCCCCAAAGATTGTGGGTCTTGCAGAAGTCATAGCAGTGAGTACCGTAACACACCTAAAATTCAGGTTTCTATTTCTAACATAGTTCTTTTTTATTGTTCTTCGGTGGCTTCATATGTATCGTATCTGGGCAGGTTGATCTGAATTGACCACTTAATCTTTTTCTCCCTAAATAATCATACATTTGTTTCCTCATTCATATATTAATTTGCTTATTTATTCATTCAAATAATCATTTATTTGACCACATAAAGGAATAGTACAGTGCCTGGGAGGAGAGGAGGTAGGTAGAAAATTTGAATAATATAAGTTTTCTATCCTTAAGGTTCTCAAGATGTATTTTATATTCAATCATAAAATACTATACAGAAAAGCAAATTATTAATGTTTTAAGAGAAACCATAGTATATTCTTTTCCACTGTTTTCTTTTTTTATCCAGGGAAAGACCATGTTTGTAGATTTATTGGCTGTGGGAGGAATGATCGATTCAACTATGTGGTCATGCAGTTGCAGGTAGGTTACCTTGAAAACGTGTCTTGAAATCCTTCCGTTCTGATCAAAGTATACAATTACAGTAAATGTGAATAAAAAGTAACAATATTCTTAGTACCATGTGAGAATGTTTTATACTGTGCAGATGGAACTTTCTTTAAACAGACGATACACATTTTCCAAAAATGAAATAATTGTCTTTGTCCGCTATTTGAGTTGACCTGTATCTTTACGGATTGTCAATCTTTGCAGTTTTCGATCCCTGGGTGGATGAGGGGATATAATGTGAATCTTGCCCCTTCTACTGTTCATTACCTTAGGGATTCCAGTTTTCCATTTGTATTCTAAAGTATTGTCTTAGTCTGTTTTGTGCTGCTGCAGAATACCCAAGACTGAGTAATGCATAAAGAACAGAGATTTATTTCTTACCATTCTGGAGGTTGGAAAATCCTAGATCTAGGGACCCACATCTTGCAGGGGCCTTCTTGCTGCATCATTCCATAGTAGAAGTTGGAAGTGCAAGTAAGTATGCACATGGGCAAGGAAGGTGAAAAAGGGGTCCTAGCTCATCCTTTTTGTCAGAAACCTACTTCCAAGATAACTACCCCACTTCCACACCAAAATATGTCTCAAAATAAGACATCTATATGGCCAAAAAACATATGAAAGAATGTTCAACATCACTGATTTTTAGAGAAATGCAAATCAAAACCACAGTAAGATACCAGCTCACACCAGTCAGAATGACTATTATTAAAAAGTCAGAAAATAACAGATGCTGGTGAGATTGCAGTGAAAAGGAAACATTTATACACTGCTGGTGGGAATACAAATTAGTTCAGCTACTGTGGAAAGCTGTCTAGTGATTTCTCAGAGGACTTAAAACAGAACTACCATTCAATTACGGGGTATATACCCAAAGGAATAAAATCATTCTACCAAAAAGACACATGCACTTACGTGTTCATCGCAGCACTATTCACAATAGCAAACAAGTGGAATTAACCTTACGTGCATATCAGTGGTGAACTGGATAAAGAGAATGTGGTACGTGTATACCATGGAATACTGCACAGCCATAAAAATGAATGAAATCATGTTCTTTGCGCAACATGGATGCAGCTGGAGGCCATTATCCTAAGCAAATTAATGCAGGAATAGAAAACCGAATACTGCATGTTCTTATAAGTGGGAGCTAAACATTGAGTACACATTTACACAAAGAGGGGAACAATAGACACCAGGGCCTACTTTGAGGGTGGAGCAAAGAAGGAGGATGAGGGTCAAAAAACTAGCTATTGGATACTATGCTCACTACCTGTGTGACAAAATCGTTTTCACACCAAACCCCAGCAACACACAATTTGCCCGTGTATCAAACCTGCACATGTACCCCTGAACCTGAAATAAATATTGAAAAAGAAAAGAAAAACCATAGCAAGTACCAATCTTGAGTACTTGAAACTTTAAACAGTAGTTGAGATAGAGGAGAAATGCCATTCCTTTTTCTTTTTTTTTTCCGTCAGTAACATAACTCTGTTCCATATATGTATGTGTGTATGTGTGTATATATATATGTATTTTTTTTTTCTTTTTTTTCTTTTGAGATGGAGTCTTGATCTGTCACCCAGGCTGGAGTGTAGTAGCATAATCTTGGCTCACTGAAACCTCCCCCTCCCAGGTTCAAGCGATTCTTCTGCCTCAGCCTCCCAAGTAGCTGGGATTACAGCCGTGCTCCACCAAGCTCGGCTAATTTTTGTATTTTTAGTAGAGATGGGATTTCATCACGTTGGCCACACTGGTCTCAAACTCCTGACCTCAGGTGATCTGCCCACCTTGGCTTCCCACAGTATTGGGATTACGGGCGTGAGCCACTGCCCCTGGCCTGTTCCCTGTTCTTTAGATGGTAGTGGAGTTAGGTCCAGAGGAAAGAATTTACAATAGGAATATTGGAATAATGACTACAATGGGGAGAAGAGGGAAACCTTTCTATTTTCTCTGACACTACCTCTGCCCCTGAAAACACACACACACACACACACACACACACACACACACACACACACACACAGAACTGTAGTCACCCTCAAAGTTTAAAAACCATGGTTCATCTTGATCTTGCTGCCTAGATCTAGAATTCTCAGTATTTCTTTTCATCTTAAGCAAACATCGTTTTGGGCATTTGACTTCTTTTCTTTTTTTTCTTTTTTTTTTTTTTTGAGACCCAGTCTCGCTCTGTCACCCAGGCTGAGTGCAGTGGCCCAATCTCGGCTCACTGCAACCTCTGCCTCTCGGGTTCAAGTGATTCTCCTGCCTCGGCTTCCGGAATAGCTGGGATTACAGGTGGCTGCCACCATGCCCGGCTATTTTTTGTATTTTTAGTAGAGACAGGGTTTTACCGTGCTGGCCAAGCTGGTATTTAACTCCTAACCTCAGGCGATCCGCCCACCTCAGCCTCCCAAAGTGCTGGGATTACATGTGTGAGCCACCGTGCCCAGCCGGTTTCTTTATTTTCTTTCAAGTTATCTAAATAACAGTGATTCTAGAGACATAGATCCTGGCCTAAATGCTTCCTTTTCTCATCAGGAGGCTTTTCTTGTTTCCCTCAGCCATCCTTCAGATTTCATTTAAAGATATTAACCTCTGTAGATAAAACCTTAAGGTCTTTTTGAGTCATGTGATTCACTAACTCTTGAGCCAACCTGGTTTTATTTATTTAAGCAGCTATCCCTGAACATTTTTTTTTTTTTTGAGACAGAGTCTCACTCTGTTGCCAGGCAGGTGTGCAGTGGCACGATCTCGGCTCACTGCACCCTCCTCCTCCCGGATTCAAGTGATTATTGTGCCTCAGCCTCTCAAGTAGTTGGGATTACAGGCACACGGCACCACACCTGGCTAATTTTTATATTTATTAGAGACTGGATTTCACCATTTTGCCCAGGCTGGTCTCGAACTCCTGACCTCAAGTCATCCACCCACCTCAGCCTCCCAAAGTGCTGGGATTATAGGCGTGAGCCACCACGCCTGGCCTTTTTTTTTTTTTTTTTTTTTTTTGCGACGTTGACTTGCTTTGTCACCCAAGCTGGAGTACAGTGGCACGATCTCAGCTCACTGCAACCTTCACCTTCTGGGTTCAAGTGATTCTCCTGCCTCAGCCTCCAGTGTAGCTCAGACTACAGGTACACACCAGCACGCCTGTGTAATTTTTGTATTTTTAGTAGAGACAGGATTTCAACATATTGGCCAGGCTGGTCTTGAACTCAGCCTCCGGTGTAGCTTGGACTACAGGTGCGCGCCACCACACCTGTGTAATTTTTGTAGTTTTAGTAGAGACAAGGTTTCACCATGTTGGCCAGGCTGGTCTTGAACTCCTGACCTAAGGTGATCTGCCCGCCTCAGTCTCCCAAAGCCCTGGGATTATAGGCGTGAGCCACTGCGCCCAGCCTCTGAACCTTTTTAGATCATTAATTTGGATCCTGCTTTCTCTCATTTTGGCTAGTAATAATATAACTTTTTGTGTGACATTTTGTAGTTTTCATCTGGATTTATCATCTTATTTGATCCTCATTATACCCCCATGGGGAGGAGAGAACAAGTTTTATCCCTCTTTTGCATATGGAGAAGCTGAGTCTCAAGGAGATTTGTGATTTGTCTGGTACTAGCCTACTTGATGGGTATTAAAGCTTGGTGGAAGCCTGAACCCAGTATTCTTTAGGCAGTAATAAGAGAAAACTGTTTTGTTTCAAGTTACTACTGACTGGAGAATTATAGAAAGCAGGTTTTTTTCTTTAGTCTGCAGAGTCTTTCTCAGTCTTAGCATATACTCATTTTAATTCTTACACTTACCTAAATCTGACTTTCTGTAAATGGGAAGGCTCCTGGTACTGGGAAACCCAAGAGACTGGTGTATATTAGACAATGATAACCTTTGTGGCCTTTGGCAAGTTCCTATGGATTTGTCTAAGAACTTTTCCATTTGAATTGCGTGCTATATTTTTTTCCTGTAACAAAAAAGTTAACCCATTTAAACTCCCATCTGTACAGTTTGTGGTTGACTTGATTTGGGATTAGGCTAAAGCTGGTATAACCGCTAGAGCGTATTTTCTCTTATTTGACATATGGAAGATCACTACTGGGTCTCCTCCATGTATTCAGCTTCCCACAGAGAGTCCTAATTTATTCTAAAAACCATAAATTCATTATTCTTAAGATAAACTTGTTCTTTTCCTCCTGCTGATTCAATTACATAATATCTGCCTTAAAAATTTTTAAGGAACAACCCTATCTCTGTTGTAGAAATTCTAACTATTTGACGTTAAAATGGTTTTTAAAATCTTACAGAGCTCAAGCAGTTGTACACATTTTTTTCTCAATTCCCCTTGCAGGACCTTGGCTAGGTCTCACCTAATATTTTGTCACCATTGAAGCTTTATATGAGCATCTTTAGTATAGCCTAAGAGTGATATATTGTAATAAGTACATCAACTATGGAGGTGCAAAACATTTTTTCGAGTTCTGTAACCAGTACAACTGTAGATCTAGATTGTCTAACACCTACAACCTTTTAAAAACTTTATTATGGGAAAAATTAAACATACACAAAGTAGAGAGAATAGTATAATTTATACCCATCTACTCATTACCCACAACTATCAGTATATGGCTAATCTTGTTTCAAGTATTTTCTCTTTCTCCTATCCCTCCCGAAATTATAGCAAATCCAAGGCATATTTTATCTACATATACATTTCTAGATGACCAGAACTCTTTTTTTCTCTTAAAGTAACCAAAATACCCAATAATAATACCTTAATAATAGCACAAATATCAAACCAATCTTCAGATTTCCTTGATTGTCCATCTCTTTAATAAAAACAATTTTTTTTTTCATTTGGTTTATTTGAATTGGGTTCCAAATAGGGTTCACACATTGCCTATCTCTTAAGCCTCTTTCAATCTATTGGTTCTCCCTCTGTCTTTTATTTTCTTGCAATTTTCTTTTCATTGTGTTTATTGATGTT